CCGCTGAGAGAGCTAGCAAGAACAGACCGGCTGGAACCTTAGAGATTAAAACTTATAGCGTCGACCGTGAGATCTACCGTCAAGCACTATGCCGGATGGTAATCCCGCGCATTAAAGAAGTATGGCCGTCTGGCAAGCGTGTGGTGCTAGAGCACGACAATGCGAAACCGCACGTCGCGGTGGATGACCCCGAAGTGGTCGCCGCATGTAGCCTTGGGAACTGGAACATGAAGATCTGCCCACAATCTGCAAATTCACCAGACTTTAATGCCAACGACCTGGGATTTTTCAATTCGCTGCAGTCACTGCAGTACAAGAAGCGAGCAAAGACTATTGAAGACCTTGTAAACAACGTTGACAGCGCATTCAAGGAGCTCCACTATACCAAACTTGACAGTGTATTTCTAACGCTTCAGTCTGTGCTACAAGCATCGATGAGAGTTGACGGCTGCAACAAATACAACATTCCACACCTTTCCAAGGACAAGCTGAGAGCAGACACTGGTCTTTTGCTGCCGTCGCTAGCTTGTACTGAGGAGGTGTACAACAGACCAAAGTCCTTCTTAAGTTCGGTTCAGTTAAAATAAGTAATGGATACACGCACTTAATTCTTATATTTCCGGACAATAGAATTACAGGGACTGCCTTATATTTTGGAAGTACGTAATGAGTAATTCTGTATTGTTAGTATTTTTTGTATTACTTCATATTCCTTAAAGTACTTTGAAAGTATATAGATTACTTTCGCAAGATTATAATAAACACAATTGAATATAAACCATAGTCGGTTTGATATATGTATAGTATTGCAATAATTGGTCAAAATAACATTTTATTCATCGGCCAGATTATAATTTCCAGCCTCTGGAGTTAGCCTACAAACGGATATGCATGGATTCGTGTTGCTGTTCTTAATGTAGCATGGCGAATTCAAGTGAATGCATTTCTCCCATGAGGCATGTTATACTCCCCCCACCACTGAACGACTGCACTCCACCAGTTTCCGGCCAGACAGATCTTTATGAAGATTGCATTAAATACAATCTCGTTGTTATTTTTGGCATTAGTATTTATAGACTCGAAGTGAATGTTAGGGCTAGTGTCGTGAGGTGTTGTAGAAAACATTTTTTCTGTTTTTTCGATCAAAACTTGCGAGCGAGGAGGGGAAATGCGATACTGTTCTCCAACTGTAGAGAAATGTATTCATCGTTGTAAATTAGCAAGTGAAAATGATAACCGATTGAGATACTTTGTGTGAAAAAAAAAA